TTAGCATCCTTATAGATGCAACTTTGCTGGCCCACCCAGCATTTAATATGTCTCCTAATGGCACCCCCTTGTGGCCTGGCACTAATGGAGGTGCTAAGATATATAAATAAGGTACAAGTTGAGGTCCTTGTCCTCAAGGATTTAACAGTTCAAATTAATCCAGCTCATATTATTGAATGCTAATGGGAACAGGGTGCTATGTGAGAAGCCCTTAAAAGTTCAGAAACGAGGAAGGCAAAATAGAATCCGGATTATCTTTTTTTTTGTTGTTAATTCTCACCCAAGGATATGTTTCTATTGATTTATTATTAAGTTTTATTTAAAAAAATTTATTGAATTCAGAGAGGAAAGAGGAGGGAGAGAGAGATAGAAACATCAATGATGAAATAATCATCGATTGGCTGCCTCTTGCACGCTCCCTACTGGGGACCAAGCCCACAAACCGGGCATGTGCCCTTGACTGGAATCGAACCTGAGACCCTTCAGTCTGCAGGCCGACGCTCTATCCACTGAGCCAAACCAGCTAGGGCTCTATTGACTTTTTAAAAAAGAGATTTCTTATTGAATTTTTAGAAAGAGAGGAAAGCAGAGGGGGAGAGAGAGAGAGAGAGAGAGAGAGAGAGAGAGAGAGAGAAACATCAATGTGAGAGAGAAACACTGCTCAGTTGCCTCCCATACCCACCCCGACTGGAGATTGAACTTGCAACCTGGGTATGTGCCCTGACTGGGAATTGAACCCACTGAGACACTGAGAACTTTCAGCAAGGGCTGATGGGCTCACCAACTGAGCCACAAGGCCCAGGGCAAGCCCCAATTTGGCTTGCTCAGACTGGAGTCCGCAGCATCATCTGCACTTGGTTAGAATGCAAATTCTCAGGCCCCACCCTTGACTGACTAAATGACAAATGCTGCAGGTGGACCTAGCCATTTGTGTTTAATAACATTTGAGCAGAACGGGCCTACAGAACTTCTAGAAAAGTAGAGGAAATAAGACAAACACACAGTCTCTCGGCTACCAGATGGGGTGATGGACCAGGACCTATCACAGACACCATGCGAGGGCCAGGGGCCTGTGACAATAGTTTTCGGTTAAAGTCACAGTCACCAGTGGAGTTTTGAAAATGCATAGTTGCCTCAGCTCCACCCAAAGGTTTGAATTCACTGGTTTTAATCCCTGTTAAAACTGTTCCCGAGGTGACTGACAGCTATCAGAGGAGAGCACCCCAGTAGGGGTCTGAGAAGGAAGAAGCCCTTTGTTAAGGTCTAAAGCAGCGGTTCTCAACCTTCCTAATGCCGCGACCCTTTAATACAGTTCCTCATGTTGTGGTGACCCCCAACCATAAAATTATTTTCGTTGCTACTTCATAACTGTAATTTTGCTACTGTTATGAATCGTAATGTAAATATCTGATATGCAGGATGTATTTTCATTGTTACAAATTGAACATAATTAAAGCATAGTGATTAATCACAAAAACAATATGTAATTATATATGTATTTTCCGATGGTCTTAGGCGACCCCTGTGAAAGGGTCGTTCGACCCCCAAAGGGGTCGCGACCCCCAGGTTGAGAACCACTGGTCTAGAGGATGTTGTGATCGAAAGTCAGCGCATTTGATTCCTGTGGATGTCATAACAAATCACCACAAATGCGTGGTTTAAAGCAACAGAACTTTACTCTCTCACAGTCCCGGAGGTCGGAAGTTCAAAGTCAGGGTGACTGCAAGGCCTGAGGCTGTGGGGGTGGTGGGGAGCACCTGTTCTTTGCCTCTTCCAGCTTCTGGTGGCTCCAGGTTCCGTGGCTTGTGGCCGCATCACTCCAATGTCTCTGCTTTGGTCTTCACACAGCCGTGGCCTCTTCTGTGTCTTCTCTTCTGTCCCAAATCACCCTCTGCCCTCCTCGTAGAAGTAGAAGCACAACCAGATAACACAAGCATTGTCATCCACACACGTAACTCAATCATCTCTGCAAAGACCCTTTTCCAAAGACGGCAGCACTCACAGGTTCCGGGGATTCGATAACTTTGGGTGGGGGTGGGTGGTGGGGGGTTGGTGGTCTCCCACAGCGACGATCAAGAGAAGACAGCATCTGCCAAGTGCACAGTCAGCACGAAGCAGGAAAAGGCGGAGCAGTCTCCTGGGCTTTGGAATTTTAAGAAAACCAGAGCAAGGAGTGAAAGTGTTATGGTAGCTGTTCAGGATTCGCGGGCAGGGCCACATCTTTTCAGGAAGATCTGACACCCGTCCTGCCTCAGAAGACGGGGCACAACACTATTTCTGAGGATGATGTCAAAGATCCGCGGCAGGTCTTTCTGCTTGGTGTGCTGAAGGCTGCACAGCTAAGAAAAAGGCTTCCTCGTGAGACAGGGACCAGACGGGGGAATCGCCGGTGTGCTGTTGGTACCCCTGGACCCTGAGCTGGGAGAGAGTTGCCGGTTTCGCTGATGCCTTGAGCAACCTGGGAGCACTTCCCAGCTACATCCTCCTGCCCGGAGGCTCAGAATACAGCAGTAGCTTCAAACAGGTCCATTACACAGTCATAATGGGAACTGACAGCCTGAGCCCGGGATTATGTCACTGCGGTTTGAAAATAATTACCCCATTGTCTCCTTAACGATGAGAGTTCCTCCCACGAAACTGTGCCAGTGTTTGGATTGTAGGAGAAAAGCTTGTAGTAAATGCCTTTTAAGACGGCAGGCTTTGTAGTTCACAGCTCAGGACTTCAGTTCATCTTGTCTGTGAGGCTGTTTTCAACTGATCGCTAAACACTCCTCTCTCCAGGTCTCTCCCCTCCAATCTCCCTGATATTCTTTCTCAAGAGTCTATCTGTAACAAAGGTGAGTGCTGTGCACAGAAACTTATCTGAAGGAAATAATCTAGCAAGTGTGCAGGGATGCCGCCTCAAGAATGCCCATCACCAGCCTATATAATAAAAGCATAGTATGCAAATTGTCCCCTCGACAGGAGTTCCTCCGTGAGTTTAACCAGGGGGCAGGGCCAGCCTGGGGAAAGGAGGGAGGTCCCACCGGCAGCCAGCAGTCCTTAGGGACCATACCAGTGCATGAATTTTGTGCACTGGGCCTCTAGTGCTGATTACTCCTTTAACCAGGAGGGGCCGGCCTGGGGAAAGGAGGGAGGCCCCGCTGGCAGCCAGCAGTCATTAGGGACCATACCAGTGTACGAATTTTGTACACTGGGCCTCTAGTGCTGATTACAATAATGGGAAACTGGAATCAATCAAAATGCCCACCAGTAACTGTCCCTGCCTATCTCAGGGAACCTTCCTTGATCCCTCAGATTGTTCAGTGTGTTCATATTTCTCGCTTGGCAGCACATCAATATGGCAATTCACTTTTTTAAAAAAAATTCTCACTTGAGGATATTTTTTTCCATTGATTTTCAGATAGAGTGGAAGGGAGGAAGAAGGTGGAAAGAGAAGGAGGGGGGGG